AGGGCTTTAAAGCAGTGCAATCATTTTGAAATTCGTATCATTTACTTATTATGCTTCATTAAGTACTTATACAAAATTTTATTAAAATAAAACCATTTAAACTGGGTGTTCGGATTTATATGTCACTTAGTATATTTAATTGCTGTCAAAAATGCTGTTTTTTCAAGAACCCCCCACGAACATTCGAAGTGATGTCTGTCAGGTTTCAAAGCTTCGTGGACTCTACAGACGTGATTGGACTACGAGTATAGCTCACGCGTGGGAAGTAAGCTGCGTTATACAACTTTGTTTTGAAGGCCCAACCATTGCCACACCGAACAAATCATCCAATTAAATATTTTGCACGAAATCGATCAAGGCATGGCAGATAGGTGACGTGCAAAAAATGTCCCACGGTCTCGGGAATACTATAAGGGGGTTCGCCCACGCAACCTACCAGACAAGCAGCTTTTTATTTATCTGATTCAGTGGGCGACAATACCGCGAATTTCAGTTTCTAAAAATGGCTAAATTAGGTAAGGTTTCTTGTACACATATCGCGAATTGTCTGCACCGTTACTTTCACGTCATGTTAGAGATATGATGTTTTTATTTTCACTCATTTATCGTTTTCTTCCCTAAAAGAATCTTAGAAAAGTAAACTTTATCGATGCTCGATGAAAGGGCTAAAAAATTCATCAAGCAGGTTGACTCTGCACTTTCTAGGCAATGCCATTATCATTACATGAAAGTTTGAGAAAACTAGTAATCACGACCATCTACAACAGGGAAATTAAACTTATCAAGTCTATCAAAGAGGTCCATACAATTAACTCATAGACATTATTTCCCTGCCCAACCGAGAGTTACAGTCCATCTGGCAACAGAAAAATAAGATGGATCAAGTCAGTCATATAGGCCCATGCCCATAGATATTTGTCTCCATAGCATAGGGGAACGCGTATCGCAACATTTGTCCATCATTCTAACACCCCAATTTTTTACCTTTAAACATTTTTGCAAAAATAATCAGGATCCTCTAAATCGAAAAACGAGGATTGTACATATCACAGATTTTAAAACAAAGAATTTGACTGAAACTCGTAGACATACGCAGGGTGGTTTTTAAATTTGACAACTCATAAAAGTTTAAATAAGCTACAAAACGATTGAAAACGCAACATCTAAAACTAAGATTGTGGAGTCTGACGAAGAATGTAAGAATGTTTAACGCGTTCTTAACAAGAATTTATTGATTATAGTTTAGGATTCTTGTTCGATTCCCAACAGATCATTAACCTCCATAATAATGGTGTAGATACCTTCGAGTAAGTACCATCGCTATGGGCACGTACCGCCTTCAACCAGTTGAATCCGGTTGAAAAATACGAGAGCAAGGACAAGGCCTCAACTTTTTAATAAAACTGTAGCTATTTTTGTCGAGACGAGACAGTGAGCAATGCAGATGTGACAACGATCTTAAAGGTCATGTAAATGCAGTCCCGCAAAAGTTATCATGAACTGTTTAAAAAACATAAATTGTTAATGTTATCAGTAATGTCACTGCTAATATTGTTAAACGTTATTTTCGGAAAGATTATTGCAAATGACTATAAAAGTTCAATCTGTGCTTGCAACGTAAAAAAGTATGCATTGGATTTTAAACATTTTGAATGTCATTGGAAAAACAAACATTTTTTGAAATAATACTGCTTCAGGTTCAGATTCATTTTACAGATGTGACACGGCTCTCAAAGGTGCAGTGCGGTAATACAAAAATTATATATTATTAAATGCTTGAAAAACGCAAATTGTTAACGTTATCAGTAATGTCACTGTTATTTTTAGCAAATATTGTTAAATGTTATTTTAGGAATGACTATTACAAATGACGATCAAAAAGTTCAATCTTTGCTTGCAACGTAAGAAGATATGCATTGATTTTTAAGCATTTTGGTTGTTATGGGAAAAACAAACATTTTTTGAAATTATGCTGCTTCAGATTCAAATTTATTTTACAGATGTGACGACACTCTCAGAAGTCATTTAAATGGAATATTAGTTATTATTAAATGTTTGAAAAACAAAAATTGTTAATGTTATCGGTAATGTCACTGTTATTTTTCGCGAATGTTGAACATTATTTTCGGAATGATTATTGCAAATGTCTATCAAAAACATTTGGGATGTCTTTGGAAAATTAACATTTTTTTTTAAATTCTACTGCTCACGAACTTCAGGTTCAAATATATACTAAGTGACATATAAATCCGAACACCCAGTTTAAATGGTTTTATTTTAATAAAAGTTGGTGAATGTATTTATCTTACTGTAAATAACAAGTGAAAAAATTTTCAGCCTTATCAGTTGGACATTCCGGTTTTTATACTGCTTTTTTTAATTCACTAACGCTCTAAAAATGAATATTTCAGCCGCAGTAAAGAATCAACGTTGGCGGATTTTGGTTCTTGACATCCTTTACGATCGGTTACGATGCCTAGAGTACGGAGACCTGTACGATTTCGTCAACTTAGTGAGTTTGATAGGGGCCGTATAGTGGGACTTCGGGAAGCTGGACTTTCTTTTCGGGCAATTGCAGTTAGAGTGCAAAGAAGTCTAGACACTGTGGTTAGGTGTTGTCAGGCATGGCTTCGAGAAGGCCGTACGCAAACAGCAAGGGGCACTGGACGCCGCCGTAGAACAACAGACCGTGAAGATCGCCGCCTAAGATTATTGGCCTTAAGGGACCGTTTCTCCACTACCAGGTCCATTCCAAATGAATGGTTTGCAGAACACGGAAGACCTATTGGCATGCGAAGTGTTTACCGACGAATGAGAAGTTTTGGCTTGTTTTCATACCGGTCACACTGGGTCCTCCCTTTAACTCGAGAACACCGACGTAATCGCCTTGAGTGGTGCAGACAACGGTCACTCTGGGATCAGGAATGAAACAGTATTATCTTTAGTTAGGCATGCACGATGGTCGTGCCAGGGTTAAAAGGCGACGTGGTGAAAGGAGGAATCCACAGTTTTTTGTTGAAAGACATGTTCATCACACTGTTGGAGTTATGGTTTGGGGTGCTATAGCTTATGGTTCCAGGTCACCTTTAATCTTCATCAGAGGTAACATGAACGCGCAGCGTTATATCCACGAAGTTCTAGAACCCCATCTTTTACCCTATCTTGACACCTACCACATTAGGACATTGACCACCTGATCAGAAGCATGCCTAGGCGCGTTGGAGAATGCGTAGCACATCAGGGTGCATCCATACATTATTAAAGGTCAAAGGGCTTTAAAGCAGTGCAATCATTTTGAAATTTTTATCATTTACTTATTATGCTTCATTAAGTACTTATACAAAATTTTATTAAAATAAAACCATTTAAACTGGGTGTTCGGATTTATATGTCACTTAGTATATTTTGCAGATTCTTTAGGCGTAAAAATTATTGAAATATTCAGAGGTTATTTGTTGAAGGCTTATAAGCAAAAACAGTTCATTGCATTGACACTTCTTGACGGATAAAAAGCTTTGAGATTCACAAAACAATCTAAAAGTTTTCAAATAATACAACTTCTTATCGTATAATGGTATCCTTGGCACATATGGCCAAATGAAACTGCATATGTAAAAATTATTCTTTACTGACGTTTCTGCCACCGTGGTGTTTAAGTATGAAAAGCACAGGATAACTTTCAGATGTTAGATTCGTATAAAAAATATGCCGTAATACAAAATATGACTGAAATCATTCACCGGTAGAAGGTGAATTGACCATATCACAAAACATCTGGCAAGTGAAAAGTAATATTGACAGGAAATGAATCAATTTTGAGGTCAATGATACCGAATGCTATAAAAGCACCTAGACGTAGGAAAACTGAATATCGCACAAAACCAACATGATACGGTCATAACACACTAAGTTAGTTTTATTACACAGATAATTATAAATTAATTATAGCAAAACTTCATTAATCCCATGCGGCTTGCTCGCATGGTCTAGTGATGAAACGCCAAGCTGGGCGTTGCCCTCAATTTGGCATATTACTTATGGTAATTTTTAGGGTAGGTAAAGAAAGGCATAAAACAATGAAAACATTCATAAAGATCTGATGAAAATAACAAGTGGATCAATAGCTAGGTGTAGGTCATATTTAATGAAAGCTTGTCTACGTAAAACGTGTATCTGTTATTTCATCGCAACTCATTTATTTTTTAGATACAAACAAGAACTCTGAAAATATGCTAAGAACTGTTTTCAATTTTCTATTTTTTGACAAAATTATTTTAACTGAAAGTTGAATATATTTTAAGTTCTCAAACTTTCAAAAAACAACGCTTTGCATCGTCGTCTTTGGCAAAAAACAATTGCGACACTGTATTGTTTACATAAAATAATCAACTGTATTAAACATATGATTCTGATTTCATGGAATCGTTAACAATTTCAATAGTATATTATTTGATAAAATCTGATTATACTGTACAATAAGGAAGATAATTCAGCAATAGATTAACATATATTTTAAAGTACATACTTTCATGTTCGAATATAATAATTTTATTTTAAGAGCACTATATTAAACATACGCCAAACATATACTCAGGATAAAGGAACCAAATAAAAAGAATTGGATCAGAAACGCAGTTTGTTAACAATGTAGAAACAAGGTAGACCTTTGTTGAATGTATAGAACTGTCAAACTTCATGTAAGAGTAGCACCAGTAGTGAAACCATTTGTTGTTTCAACGTAAATTTCAACACTTAATATCAAGATCTCAGCTCCAAATGTCATTTAAGAAATTGAGGGAAACAGAACATTGATATCCAGTATACAATATAGATACACAAATATAGCAGCATTATTGCAAATGGCTAAAAAACTGAGCAAGCTTTATCTATTTTGAAAATCGTAGAGAAATAATTATACACGTTTCAGTTGCTAAGTTAGCCTTTCTAATATTTTAGAATTAGAAGCTTTTTTGAAGTTGAGATATCCCTTCAGGACTCACCTTGGCACCAATTTGGTTTCCACATTGACCGGCTTGGATATGCACGATTTCCCTCATGTTTATCTGTTGCTAAAAATGTTCTTAAGTTCGCGCAAAATGTAACGACGAAAACGCCCGTAGTGAGTGAAGCAGCGAAGGTTTCTTTATCTGGAACTCGTCGTATAGTCGACGGCCGGACGTTCTTATACCAGCTCCCACCTACCAAGTGGTGCCGGCCACCACATTTGCCAGATTTGGCTCTCTTGACTTCTTGACGGCCTTTTCTTTTTTCTTCTTTCGCATCGTATCGGGACGCCAGACGATTCGTGGGCAGACGGTCGTCCGATTAACTTTTTCGCACGATATTTTTCCAAAAATAGCGAGGTACGATTTTTGTCGAGCAGATTAAGATTCCAAACTTTGGCTCTCTTGACCTTATTTACTTCACGGGGACGGTGATTTAATCATGACAATATAGTCAACGCCAAACAAAGTGGCGTGCACGTCATCACGATAAAAATTCCCCGACCTAATGCCTAGGTTTCTATCACAAACAATTGCTCTATTGCATTTTCATATTAATGTGATATATAAATTGTAAAATGGTCATTACTCTCTTATTATGGTTAATAGTCATATAAACATTGTTATTAAAATATCACATTGTTGCTTTCTGATAAATTTAGACGCATTATGCGAAATAAAATGTTTTGCAAACGCTCCAATCACTTATCGACATACTGTAAATCAACAACTGTTTGTTTCAAAACAAAATTATTCATTTTACGAGTAGATAAAGGCAATTTTGGTATATAAAGATGCCCAAACAGTTAAATAGTCGGTGTAAGGAACTCGTGGCCTCGTTAATGCACTACTTTGAGCAAGAAAGGGACAACAACGGGCCTTTGTTGCCTTTAAATGCTGTTCAAGAGGTAGGTTACTAATAATTATATGTAATGTATATTAATAATAGTGAAATTTTATTTCATTTTTTGTAGCGTGTTGCTGCTGCTTTAAAAATTAGTTTAAGGACAGTTAGTCGTATTTCCGAGGGTGTGAAAAGTGATGCAAATTTAGAATCGCCCAAGAAAAAGCGGAGTTATATTAAACGTGTAACCAACACAGCGACATTGGATACAAGTGCCATTCGAGAAGTGATCTATAATATGTATCACAAAAGTAAGATCTTATTATAATAACTTATCAGAAATTTGCATTAATTTGTTAACTAAATTATAATGTCATATTACACATGGTTTCAGAAGAACAAGTTACGATACAAACTTTATGGTCTCGATTAAGAGATAGGGCATTATTTGATGGTAGTGCCACGTCTTTAAGGCGGTTGCTTAGAGATCTTGGATTTAAGTGGCTTAAGGACAATCCGCGACGAGGGCTCATGGAACTACCAAGTACAGCTTTGAAAAGGGTGGAATTTCTAAGGCAATACAATCAAGCCAAGGTTGAGGCCTTATACCAGTTTGTCTTCCTCGATGAAACTTGGATATTTCAAAATGGGACCATAGGTCGCTCTTGGCAAAATGGAAACCAAAAAAGCGTGAAAGCTATTAAAACAGATGGTAAAAGGTATGTACTTTTACACAATTTGCACTATAAAATTTAAAACTAATATATTTTAGATACATTATATTACATGCTGGAAATGAAAATGGGTTTATTGAGGGTAGTGAAGCGATATTTTCTTCGAAAACAAAATTGAGCGATTACCATGGAGAGATGAACCAGGACAATTTTTTGAAATGGTTTCAACAGCAGTTATTAGAAAAATTGGAGAGTCCATCTATGATTATACTGGATAACGCCCCTTATCACAGCATGATATTGAACAAAGTGCCCAACAATGCATGGACAAAAAAAAATATCCAAGACTGGTTGACAAATCAAGACATACCATTTTTAAACACAATGTTTAAAACAGAGCTATTGAGTATTGTTGCTCGGTACATAATGCTTCTTAATTATATATATTTTGGTCGACAGTTTATATTTCTTTTGTTTATTCCTATTCTTAAAATAACTGCTTTTTTAGAAACAAACCACCTAAAATATACGTGATTGATGAATTGGCGGAACAACATGGGCACAAAGTTCTTCGTCTGCCTCCTTACCATTGTATATTTAACCCTATTGAGTTAATTTGGGGCATAGCAAAAGGTTACTATAACAGACATATTGGTAGAGATGGTAACAGTGAAAAAGACTGTTTGGATATGTGGAACGAGGCTCTACAAACGGTTACCCCAGACATGTGGAAAAATAGTGTTCGACATACTGAGCAAGAAATTTTTAAATGGTATGAAAGAGAACGAATTTTTGATCCACCAGACATCGAACCTTTAATAATCAACTTTGAGAGTGATGAAGATTCAGATTCAGACAGCGCTGAAGAAAGAAACTCCGACTAACTTTATTGTACATAAAAAGCTTACACCAGTAGCTTACCTAATTTTAGAATGCATTTTTCTGTATGAATTCTGTAAAATAAATACCATGCATAAAATTTGGATGACCCCATTTGGATTTTTATTCAGTACCTTTAAGCTATCAATTAAATATGGTAGTTTCATAGTGTCATCTGATCAATAATTGTCATACTTAATGATTATGCAAGTACAGATCTATAATTTTATTATACTATTATTTTTGTTCTCATTTGAGGTTAATATTGCTTATAAACCTAGATATGTAAATAATAAATTTTATTATTTTACAAAAAGTTTGGCAACAATGTAAATTTTTCAACACACCCACCTTGATGACGTGCACGCCACTTTGTTTGGCGTTACTATAGATAACATAGACAGTATGTTTTTTGGATTGTTATATGACATGTACATCACGAAAAACCATGTCACTCATTTCTGTCTGTCCGCTAATCTTATAAACGCCTAGAACTTGAGAAGTACCGCTCTGATTTCGCTAAAATTTTTACACAATGTTACTACCATGCCAAGGACGCAGAAGCTTTAGAGTTTTTGAAAATCGGTCCAGTGACGGCGAAGAAAAAGGCGAAAAACGGAAAAAAGGCCAAACTCAATCATTTTCGAAAAAAATTACGTTGTGCTTAAAAATTGGAGATTAGGAGTTGCAAGGGGTTGTGGAGACTATAGGTATATCAATTTTTTTCTACGTTGGTATATTTAAACGCCTCCAACCTCAGAAATTCTCCCCACATATTAGACATATTTCATTCATCATACATTTACCCTTAAAACTTAAATATCTCGTGCAGTCGGGTGTCGATACGTGCGACGTGGTCCCCGATGGACGAGCGTCGTCGTCGGTGGTCGTACGTCAGAGTCGGCAATCGCTTCCGCACTACTGTGGGCTGCATGAATTGTGCGTTGTGAAGGAAAAAATCGTCATTCATGCGCGATTGGTCATCGCAATGATTATGTGCACAAAAAAGCGCATAGAGTCATGGAAAGTGAACGTACTGCCATGATTACACAGTTTCTGGCCATTTTATTGGACAAGAGATTTGACTGGTATCTCGCGCGTGGGTGTAAGGGAATTTTATTCTGAATCGTAGTATAGTAAGTGATTAGAATCGTTGTAGTTAATATCATTTATTAGAAAATGCAACTATCTAAGGCAGACAAATTAGAACTATTATCAGTATTTTGTCAAAATTGCTTTAAATAATAAAAAAACATATTCTACCGTGAAACATAAAAAATAAATATTTATTAAAAAAAACCTTAAAATGTTCTCAATTATCAAAAACAAAAGTGTTAGTAATTTATTATCATCGATCCAAAAAACCCAAGGATATACATTTTCGGATGACCCAATCAACTTTTGAACTTTTCAAGGGTAAACAGTATTGAAACAAAAATGTTTTTCTCAAAAACAATTTCGAACGTGAATGCATTTTGTACTTTTACTTTTACATGTGCTTTTACTGACGTTTCGGTCAGTGTGACTATGTCACTGTACTTTTAAAACGTCTATCATGACGGACGAAACCTCAGTAAAAGTTATTTATGCATATGTGGCTTGTTTTCGCTATACTATAACTATCTAAAACTGTAATGACTCATGGATGTTCACGTGAGCATCACTTAACTACCAGTAGTCGGCTGTTCATAGGCGGGGTATGAATGTTTAACATGGGTGAACTAGATTTGTCATATGCTTAATAAAGAGTGGTTTGAAACATATTGTAAGTCAAAAATTTGGGAATTACCTTTATTCATCGTCGCTTCCACTTACATCTGACAGTAATAAACTGTCGCTATCGCTTTCCTCGTTGAAATTGACTATAACTGGCTATATGATGGTGTCGATGTGGTGGTCAAGCTGCCACATTTTTGTTTCTTCCTTCACAACATGACGGATAGCATTCTGCCAAGCTTCGGGCGTTACTAGCTGTATGGAAGTCTCAAGTAAAACCTTAACGCCTGGTAATTTGAAGGTTGTGTTATGGCGCGCAATATAACCCTTCACTTGAGCCCAGATGAGCTCTATTGGGTTCAGTTCACAGTGGTAGGGCGGTAACCGCAGCACAGTGACACCACATTGACGGGCCATCTCATCAGTCACGTAACTAATGTTCGCAGGTTTGTGCTGTTTAATTTTTTCATACAATTCCGCTTTCACACATGAATCGTCAAACGGAATTCCTTTTTCGCGCAACCATTGCTGCATGTTACTTTTTCGAGATCCCATAGTCGGTACACGTTCGGCTCGACGACTATGGTAGGAAGCATTATCCATGACGATCACAGAGTTGGGCTCAACTCGCTGAAGCACCCCTTGAAACCAGCTCTCGAAGCAGCTGGCATTCATTTCGTCATGGTAATCACCTCCTTTCTTAGAGACGAAAATCAAGTCACACTCTTCTAAAAAGCCACTATCGCTACCAATATGAGTTACGATCAATCTTTGACCTTTCCTTGACGGTCCACGAAGACCTGTTGACAAACCTTCAATGCTTGCTTGTCGGTTACTCACTACGTTTTTGTCTATCCAGGTTTTTTTAACTGTGTGACCTGCATTTACCCATGTCTCGTCCAAATAATAGATTTTTCTGCTTTGTCGCCTATATTCAATCATTTCGCGTAGGTATTTTCGACGCCAGGCGACTATTTCAAGTCTCTCTATCAATACTGACTTCCGATTACGCGTTTCGTAACGAAAATTAATTTCGTGCAGGGATTTCCTCATTACCTCGACGCTCATTTGGGGTATAATTTCATTTTCCTTGATCGCTGCATGTACAGCCTTGAGGGTTGGTATCTCATTCCTAAAGAAGAATGAATGTATGGTTCGCCTTAACGCCATTTTGCTATCGTCATCCAATTTAACGGCCTTTCGTCCCTTCAAATTAAACTTTGGATCAGTAGTAGCTCCAGTTTTCTTCTTTTCATGCACCACCCTGCGAATGGTCCACTCTGGAACGCCTGTCATACTTTCACAACGCGCGAGTGCATCTCCCTGCGACATAGTTCTGTTCAGATAATTGAACACGTTGAGCACGATTTCTTTCGCGTACCTCTTC